TCAGCAGGACCATACCCGTGAGTGCTGTCAGCACCCAGCTTGCTCTCAGGACACTGGGTCCTCTGCAGTGCTCGTCTGTGTGACAAATGGCTTCAGGATCCCTCGAGTTTGGGTCACAAAGTAGTTGACAACATCCTGAAGGCTCGGGAGTGTCACCTGTTTCAAAAACCAAAAAAATAGCACCAAAAAGAGTCCTACTAAATAAAATACACTACATGTGTTGAGGATCCGTGCTGTCAGGCTGGGATCCCTGGCAGTGTTTCTCAACCAACCAATACGGGATTTACATCCAGCGTTGGGATGCAGTGAGGTCTGGCACAGCTCTCTGCAACCTGGGGTAACGTTTTGACCCCTGAGTGTACGGGTCCATCCCTTCCATCAGATGAGCGACCAAACCAGAAAGGAGGGAGCTCTCTGTACCTTTGTGCTCTTCAGTGGCTGCCAGGGCTCCTTTGCAAAAATTGAAGCGATCCCAAGTGTTTTGTGGGTGGTTTATTTTATTTTTGGTAGACAGAAGATGCTGATGTGGAGGTTTTTTCCTACTTTTCTAGTTCTCAACAGACAACTTGTTCTTTGTGATTAGAGTAACAGGTGAAATCTCCACATACTTTGACTCACAAATTATAGTCAGGAATTTTCTTGAGCTTCTCTAATTTTCTGCAAAGTGCTATTTTTCACACCTGCTTAAGAATCTCTAGCAAGGGAATTTCTCACTTACCCGTCTTTCCAGTTCGATAACGTAACTTGTTCCTTTGGACATCACTCTGTAGTGCTTTAAGCGTGGGCTACTGAAAGAAAATGAAAATTATGATAGGCTGCCTGAAATGAAATACCTTTTGGTGTCTTGCTGTCATGATGAACTCCTTTGCAGGGGCAATGGGTGTGTTTTGTAAGATCCCCAGAGCTTATTGCCTTATTGCTCATTTGCCTTTCTCAAAATAGCCTGAAGTTAAGGTGTACGTTTCACATGTCAGCTCTGCGTATTGAGAGTTCAGCTTTTAATACAGAGTTAAGAATGGGATAATAGATTGTGGGATGGACCTACTCCAGCTCCTGTCGGACAGTGATGGCGTAGTTCTTGCTGTCACTGCCGGGGCGCAGGATCAAATTCCCACATGAAGGATTCTTTTCTAACATCTCTATGGCTTTTTGCCGAGATACTGCATAGAAGCACCTGCATAGAAAGGAGGAGAGACACGGCATGAACATGAGTTACGCTGGTAAGACCATGTCCTTCTGAGTTGTGCTGCACTTGGCCTTTTCAAAACAAAAAGTATTGTAGAAAAGCCATGGGAGTAATCTTTCCGAGAAGAGGAGACTGAGGGGTGACCTAATTTTAATGTTTATAAATATGTAAAGGGTGAGTGTCGGGAGGAAGGAGCCAGGCTCTGCTCTGGGATGTCCAATGGCAGGACAAGGGGCAATGGTCCCAAGCTGGAGCACAGGAGGTTCAAGCTGAAGATCAGGCCAAAGTTTGTGAGTGTGAGGGTTCTGGAGCATGGCCCAGGCTGCCCAGAGAGGTTGTGGAGTGTCCTTGTGTGGAGACACCCAAAGCCCTGGCCGTGTTCCTGTGTGAGTGCTCTGGTGATCCTGCTGTGGCAGGGGTTGCACTGGGGGAGCTTTCCAGGGCCCTTCCAACTCCTCATATTCTGGGATTCTGTGAAATCTCTGTAAAGGCCTTAAGGTAGATTTTATTCACTGTCTATTATACAACCGTTGTACAACAGTTGAATTTTAAACCTCTATGTGAAAATAATACTTAGAAAGAAGAGGGGAAGGCTCTCTAGTCAAGCTGGGGTTCACTTAGTTCAGTCAGAGCTTACGCAGGCATAGTGGCCAGGGTACTGCTGGGGGGGCTTTTGCTGCTCAAGGATGTGCTGGAACAGTCGTTAAGCATAATCCTCCTTTTCTTTTCCTTCTCCAGCACCTCTTGCATTCTTGTAAGTTGTTCAGGGAGTAATGACTCATCTGGTGGAACTGACAGCTGCGAATGAACAGCGTAATTGAAAAGAAAATGAGTGGACAAACATAGCAAGCAATTGTTGCTGTGTGAATCACAGCTCATCTCCAAGCGCAGCTGCAGTGCAGAAATCTTTCTTACCTGCTTGGTTTAAGCCCTGTGATAATCTGGAAGGTTTGGATAAGCTGCTGCTTTGAATAAAATGCTGCATATGTGTTTGAGTCAGAATAGTGAAATAGGTGTATCTGTGTCCTACTTTACCAGAAATGTGCATTGACAGAAGTGGGAATGATGTAAGAATCCACGAGTTTCCAATTTCTATACCGCAAAAAGCTGTGTAAATACCATTTAACCTATTTCAGCCATCCCCAGCTTTTTAAGTGATTCAGCTAAGCCAATGTCAAGTCATTTGTGAACAAACTTTATTTACTTTTCCAGTGGTCATTATCAAAGTAGGTCTTGCTATTTTCAAAGTGCATTTAGCTAAGAAGAGTAGCAGAATGAAACACAGGGCTGAGGGGTTCTCTCAGGTGTGCAGTTTGGCCGTTTCTTTGGTTATTTATTTCTCTCAAAGACCTAAAGAGTTGTCTCTCTCGGAGCAGGCTCCCTTTTCCACAGCTGCAGAGGATAGACTGGTGCTAGAAGTCTCTTCCTTTCTGGGTGGCAAACAGTGGATCGGGATATAACTGACTAGATACCATGGCAGACTGCGTATTGCAGATGAGCTGGGGTTAAATCAGCCTAAAATTTGCTCTCGGGCAAAAAAACCCCAACTTGTGGACCAACAGTTTAGTGTGTGCAAACTCCTTAGCAGCAAAGCTTGGTGCCTGCAGACGCCAACTTCTTGCATGCACAAAGACAAAACCCCCTCGTAGACACTTTTAACACAGTGTGAGGTACAAAACTCTTCCATACCTTTGTTACGGTGAGAATAAAACCCTTCCATTCTCTCCCGTGTTCACAGTCAGTAGCCTGAGAGAGCAGAAAATGATGGTGTAAGAACCACGACAGAAAAAAGAGGGATGCTATTTCCTGTGGATATTCCCTGTGTGCGCTGCCTCCCTCTCTGTCTGTCTTTTGGTGCTGCCCGGCTGGGAGGTGGAGTAAAGCACCAAGCAGCTTAAAAATCACAGCTCTCCTCTTTTTACCTTCAGTTCTAGTTTCCCATTCGACAGCATCAGGATGAACTGCACAGAGCCGTTTTCGTCTGGAGAAATACTGGTTGCTGAGGTCAAAGCTGATATATCTACTTTCTGTGAGTACTAAGGAAGGAAAGAGAAATAGCACAAGTTGTAATTTTCACCAGAACTCTAGCTGCTGTCCAAAGGAATTTGTTTAGAAGAAATTAGATTGAAACTTTGGGGTTTTGTTGCTAGAGGTTGAGTTAAGTTTAATTGACAGATGTGCCAAAGCTTAGTCCCTTGTTTCTGCTTATAGAAGCTCTTCTCACCAACAAAATAACTTCCAGATTTTTCTTCATAATCACAAACATCTTAAATCCATGGGACCTTCTGAGTATTTGCTTTGTGACTCCCACTAAACGCTCAGCCACAGTACCCCGTGATAATACCAAGCGCTTTTCCCTCAGCTGCATAAAGGAAAGTGGTGTTACACACCCCAAGAGATACTTTACCCTTCTGCCCAGCTGAGGAAAAAACAGTGTAACATTATGGAGCCATGGGGATACGTTTGTAGCTCAGGTGTCCAAAAAATACTCCTTTTTGTTTTAATTAGGTGAATTAATAGGCTGTTGTTTGCTTCACTCTATTTTGTTGTTTTTTTATCTTAGCCTTTCTGTTAAAATGTTCTGTGCTATTTTTTCTTTGGACTACGCAGATGAGGGAGGAAAGGGTGCAGAGAGGTGTCTGGAGTACCTGAGGATTAGTTAATTAAAATAACTGATGCGCTTCATCAGATGGGTAGTAACAAAGGTAGCGTGTTACTCACTGTTGGGGCTTTCATATCATCATAAAAGAAGAGCATAGTTCCTCTGAGCTCTGTCCAATACGGCCTAAATTCCTGTCGGAAAGGAGGAAGTGTTGGTTTGTGAAGATCTTTTTAGTTCCCACAAAGTGCTGTAAGTGAAAAAACTGCTAAGAAGAACTCTGTCTCATGATTAGTTTTCAGTGTTTAAAAGATCATTAAAGAGCAAGTACGTATTTTGCAAGCAGTTTATGCAAAAAAAAGCTCAGTAAATTATTTTTTAATAGCAGGCCAGCAGGACTAGGGAAGTGATTGTCCCCCTGCAATCGGCAGTGGGGAGGATGCACCTCAAATACTGTATTCAGGTCACTCTTTTTGGCGCTTTCTGTCAAATTCCTAGTGTGAAATTTCGATAGCATTCAACCTCTGGACCCCAACCAGAGCACCTTATAAACAACTTTTTCTGCTCTATGGAGATGTAGTAACAGTTACTGCGTAACTCTCATTTTCACTACCTTGTGCTTGAGTATCTACAGAAACTGTGTAGGTAAGGTGAAAATTACTTTGTAACCCTAAGTACAGGGATTGTCATTATCAAATGCTAAAAAAGGGGCAATCAGCCTGAGCAGGGACATGCTCTGAACATAAATGCTATTGTAACATAGGCAAGCATGTAGGTGTTTACAAATTTGCGTCTCAAGTAGTTATCCTGGGTCAAAAAAAACCCTCTTATTTTCCAGTTAGTCCACATATCTCAAAACTTCAGCCCTTACTAACAAGAATGAAAAGATGTAGAGAAGCCACACGTACATCAGGTGGTGTATCACTGAAGACTTCAGGATGGGTACTGTTCTATGGTCAATAGAGGATATAACCATGTCAGACTTTGCTCTTGCTATTAAAAAGATTGCTTTAGTTTTTCACCGTGGTGTTAGCTATGAAATCAGTCAAACCCAACCCACATTTCAATAGGTCATAGTAAACTATAATGGCATCCTGGAGATGTTGATCTCCTTACATAATTTCTTTTACTTACCCTCCCCTCTGCAAAGTAATATGAACAGAAATAACTAATGTCACTATTTCAGTGCAACCACTTGTGTCGGCCAGCGCTGAGAAACATCTCCCCCAACAGACCTGTGGCTCCCAGCAATACATTTTTGAAGAACTATTTAAACACATCCCATTCCTGGGACCGGGCGCCTTACCTGGCATCCCGAGTGCCTCATGGCCAGGTAACCTTGGAAGTACAAAGGCAGCCCCGTGATCCTCTGCCTCTCCTGGGAGATTCGCCGTGGGGCTGGCTGAGGAATCGCTTCAGGTTGATCCCCAGAGCCTCTCAGCATCCTTTGGATATCTCAGGATGATGAATACCTGCTGTTGCTGTGCTATTTTTTAGATTTTTTCCCTTCCCACTCTGGTTGTTTTCTGTCTGCTCTGTATCAGCCTCAGCCAGCGGAGAACTCACCGTGGTGAGAGTGGGGATAAAGCAGCACCTTGAAGAGGAAGTCTCCGTAGCTGCTTTTAGATCAGCGCACGCCACCAACTCTGCTTGGTGTGCGGTCTTGGGGGGAACCAGACGGAAGGGATTTAAAGGAGCTTTTATAGTAAGGTGTGTTAAGAGTGTGCACCTCGCTTTGCTTGAGGGGAGATGCTCGAATGATGAGGCTGCTGGTACAAAACCGCACCATTACGGTGATGGGTGTCCCCTGGCAGAAAAGCCTGCTTTTTATGGCTTATAGCATCGGACTTCTCACTGGCAGACTGCTCTCAACTGCCTCTGAAATAATATTTGCATTTTTCATTGGGAATGTGGATTAACTGTGAGTTATCGGAGTTGAACTTTCTGTAGCAGTTGGCTGTGGGATTGCAAGACATCAAAAGTGATCTTGGAAATAAACAACCATAGGTAGATTTATAACTGGCGAGGATAAAGCAACTTTGCCATCTGCACGTATGAAGAAGACTTTAGTTATAAGAAGAGTTAATATACTTGTTAGTGTGTTATTAGTATGTTAAAGACATTGTAAGGGAGGTTATAGTTCAGGAGAGAAATGTTGGCCCTGATGGAATGAGGGGTGAAATTCCCATCTGTTTCACAGAACCTTCTCTTTAGCAGTTAGAAAGAATAGGGATGGCAAGATTTGGTGTTTCCATGCCTGTCGCCAGGGTGTGGTATAAAGCATCCCTTTAAAGCGTATTTTTGGGCAGTCCTTTGCCGATGATTTAATATAGTGTGGATGCCATGGCGTTACACTCTCAGGCAGTGGTTTTGACCCCTCGATCAGTAATGCTTTAGAGTAAACTGCACCCCTCTGTGGTGACTGTAGCTGTTTCGGGGCATCGGCGCGAAACCTGAGGGAGAGGAGCGCAGCTACCGCGGCCCCTCCTGAGGGCGGCCCAGAGGGCGGCAACGGGGAAGCCCGTG